TCTGAGTTCAGTATTGTCAGCAAAACCAAGACCTCAGCATATCTATTGAGAAGGAATAACGGGGGGCCTTGTGTTATCCAGTTTCATTCTTGTCTGACAGTGAAATTTCATCTCTAAGTATTATTCATAAATATGTATTAGTATGTCTGCAAGTAGCCCAGGAGTTAACTGTCCAACTTCGCAGAAACATTTAAGGGTTAAGTACATATTGCATATCCAAAAAGTAACTTGCGCCTAGTGCTTGACCTGCAAGTTTTATGCATACCAGCCATTATTTGCATCAATCCAGCAAACATGCGTGTGCTAACTGCCTATGGACGGGAAGCAGAAGTTATTGCAGGATTCGTCCTGCCCTCACCCCCAGGCACACAAACAGCTAGCCCTATTGTCAATGTCAATTTAAAGTGCCATATCTGGAAAACTGAAGATGATAAACAGAGAGCTTGGGTTTTGGGCTGGGTTTACAGAGATTAGAAAGACAGTTTTCCTATCAATGCACACACAAAATTAATCTGCCAAGCAACTTGTGGAAAAATCAGACAACGTAATCATCAAAAAGCAATACAACAAGGAGGTTACAAGGAGGTTAAAAGCTTACCCAACGCCTCACCCCTAAACACAGACAATGTATTTATTACCTAGGCTTTTATATTGCTCCAATCAAACCAACTCTGAGCATATAATATTTCATTAAAAAAAAAACCATACAAAACAGAGCAGAGTCTTCGCCCATCTTCTCAACCTGCTTCCACAAGCTGGCACTATGTCCTTGGGACAAGTCAACATTCCATGCCATCCCCGTGGGCCTTTCAGAAGAGCCAGACTTTACTGCTCCTTGGAATATTAATAGGAACAGGGCTGTCCTTATCTCCAGAGATAAGCTATTCTTAAGGAGCTGCCCCCCTCACCTCCCGAGAAGGTTCGTCCTCAGGATCCTTTTTGTTGACTACTCCTAGTTCAGCATAAGAACTAGTAGTAAATCCTGGATCTTACTGGACAGACAAGATTCTATGCCGAGCAGACATACTATATGCTCAGTTCCTCAGATCTAAAGGACCTTAAAGATAACAACCAGCATCTTGAATTGCATCTGGAAGCTGATTGGCAACCAGCGTAGCTCCCGCAGTAGAGGTTACCATGGGCAAGCCAAGCTGTGTCTATTACCCAGATTGTTGCATTCTGGCCCAACTGCAGCTTCTGAATGGTCTTCAAAGGCAGCCACAGGTAGATTAAGCTGCAATAGTGCAAGCATGAAGTGACAAGGGCATGAGTAACCATCAACAAGACCTCCTGTTCCAGATACAATTGCAACTAAAACACAAAATGAAGTTGTGCAACAACCCTCCTGGCCAGGGCTTCTACTTGCTCCTTGAGTAGGAGCCATGAATCCAAGAGAACCTCCATACTAAGAACCTGCTATCCTGTTCTGCTACCTGCTACTTCCAGAACCTGTTGGTTTCTGAATCAATAGCCCCTACGTTTTGCTGGGTTTATGTCTAAGCCTATTTCTCTCCATTCAGATCCTAAGAGCATCCAGGAACCAAGGCAGAACCCCAGTAGCACCCTGGATTGGTCCGGGGTAAATATATCTGAGTATCCTCTGCATATTGATATTTCACCCAGCACTGATAGATGACCTCCCCAGCAACTTCACATAGAGATTAAACAGTGTGGAGAAGAGCTCTGCAGTACTCCACAGCATAGGGCCTGCATACTAAGCCTCTACTCCAAACCAACTGGAACCAGCCACTTAGGCAGAAGTACTATAACACAGTGCCCCCCACTCCTAACCTTCAAAAGAAGTTGTGAAGTTGGTATCAAAGACAGCTGAGAGGTCCGGCTGGACAGTTACACTACTCTATCCCAATACCACCGCAGGTCATCAACAAGAGCAATCAGTGCAGTCTCGGTCCCATCCCCTGCCCTGAACCCCAACCAAAAAGGAGGATTGGAGACCGGCCAAAGTTATACAAAATAGCTGGCTTTTCAAGGAGGGGTGGAAGTGAATGCATCCTTGTAAGAGGGGGTAATGCCACCTCTTTTGAAGAGACAGTGGGGCTCCTCTCCCAAGGATATATTACCCTTTACCCATATCTAGTCTCTTGCCACCTCCCTGGTAGCTTTCACCAACTAGGTAGGACAGGAATCCAGTCCACAGGTGGAAGATCTGATATCACAGAGGAGCTAGTCCACTTCTTTGGGATCCATACGGTTGAACTAGTCCCAGATAACCTCACAAGATGATGCCTATGTCATCTCTGCTGGACATGCCCAGCTGACATCCAACTCTGAGAAAACATGATTTTATCTTCCAGATGCCTTGCAAATTCATCATGGCAGCCTACTAACTGATCATCCAGCCCACCTTTCCATTAAAAGGTCCAGATAACCTTAAACGAGAAACCCTGCCAGATCAGCAGAAAAGCTGCTCAGACACAATCCCCTCAAGGATCACTGCTACTTCCTTGTTCTAGAGGTTGACAACACCCTCAGTACACCTGCCTCCCAAGTCCCCAAACTTCCTCTGGAAACCAAGCAGACCGATCACATCCACTGGGGTGATCCACAGAATAGGGACATACAAAATAAAGACAAAGCACATCTTGAAACAGTTTCATTTTTAATTTTAATGCATTCTTGCAGGAAACTGTCTTGAGATGCAATCTAAAAGAGCTTATAAAATAGACTTCTAGTGCATGAAACGAAAAAAACATGTTTTATTTCAAGCCTAGAACAAACCATCACATTCTGAGAGTTCTGCCAAACCATTTCAGGCCAGCCAGTCAGCAGAACCAAACCCCGAAACACTTGGATTATTCTGGGTTTGGGATGAAATGAAATCTAGATAGGGCAAGAAGAGCAAGGCTGGCGTGCACCTGTTGTCCTTGGTCCCTCAGCAGCTCCCAGCGCACCAGATCCCATCCCCGTGCCCCTTTCCACTGCAGGCGCGGCCTAAAGTGGCCTATTTTGCTGGCCTGTCCTGTGACCCAATTGTTCCAATGCCTTCCCCTCCCCTCCCTTCCCTCCCCTTAGCCACTGCTGCCAATGACCCGGGCTTTTCCCATTTTTCCCTCCCACACACGCTTCTGCCAGGAACAGCCCTGCTCAGGCCATGCTTTATTTATCTGACCATTTAAAACGGCTGCCCATCTTAAAACACAACTCTGGGAGGCTCCAACGTAACAGCCCCATGTTGCTATGTGCAGAGACCAAAACACTCCGAATATGCATATTTCAGTTTGGACACAGACCACCCAAACTAGCTGTTCCATGCACCCCTAGCTGTTAGTATTATTCATCTATGTTTTTTTTTAATTCACTCAGCTTCACTTATTTCAAATGCCATGCCTGAAAGATCCCATAGAATGAAGCTTCAGGATTGATGTTTCTAATGTACATCATTCACCCACACATGCTTAGGTAATACCACGCTTGGCCAATGTGATCCTTGGCTTCTCTTTCCGCTCCTGACCTTTTAGTCCTCGGAAGGTAGGATCACTCCTCACGCAGCTAACCTGGCATAAGTGAAGACTGTGCATAACAGATAGACCTATGGCACAGAGAGAAAACCCCTGCCCCTCTAGCACATTTTCTTAGCTATTTTCTTGGTGGACCATCCTTCTCAAGTATCTGGGTTGGGTTTGGGGAGAGGACAGGAGACAGAGGCACTTGCATATACAGGAAGGATCCAAAGGGTTCCAGAGCCACCATTTTAGGCAAAAATATGCATCCCGAAAACAAAGCCAAAATGGATGTAGAAGACACTTACCCCTACGCTCCCAGTTGTACACAGGTTGAACAGGCAACTCTTAGGCTCTATAGGCTAAGATTTCCATGAAAGCACATTAAAATCCAAGAAAGCTTTTAAAACTAAGAACATGTACAAAAATAAGTCCATATACTCCTGTGAAAAATATACTGGAAACTGCCACCACAGATGAGGTACCATTTATTCCCCACCCCCCACCCAGCTCCATTGCAACATCAAAAAATATCTTAAGTCTTTTAAAAACAAAAGAACAATATCTGTCTATTTCATAATCTTGGTTAAAACAGCACCCCTTGTTATATCACACCATTACAAAACAGAAATCAGAATCTCACATCTTAAACACAAGCCTGAATTCCTGCTTATCTGGCCTCATTCCGTAGTGCAGTCATTGTCCACCTCCGTTTAAATAAATATAGCAGCTACAGTATTGTAAGAAGTGTGGTACCCAATGCCAGTACATTGATATCGCATTAAGAATGTTTATCGGCACTTTACAAAGATAGCTTCAAAACTCCAATGTTGCCAGGTTTGGTTCTTAAGTTAGCAGTTCCCCTCCACGTGAAAACCATTTCATTGCTTTAGCATTCTACATGAACTGAAAAGATGCTTTCCTGACGGCCCTTTACTTGGCGGGAATGAAGAAACTGAATACAGCACAGTACACAAGATTTGCAAGCTAATTTTCTTCATGGTAGGAACAGAATAAGAAATATATATCATACTGCATCCTGATGTAAACAACTTAACTTCTTTAAAAAAAGAAGAAGCAAGACTCAAATGTCCACAATAACCTTTTTAAAGTGCTTCTAAAAAGCTAACCTAGAAAACAGTTTGAGGCATGAATTCCCACTGAAGTACAGGTAGCCCTTGCCTAATGACCATTTGTTTAGCAACCGAAGTTACTATGGTGCTAAAAAAAAGCTACTTACAACCAGTCCTTGCACTTATGACTGTCTCAGTACCCCCAAGGTCACATGATTGCGATCTGGGCATTTGGCAACCAGCTCGCACTTACGGTGGTTGCAGTGTCCCAGGGTCGTGTGATTGCCATTTATAACCTTCCCAGCTGGCTTCTGGCAAGCAAAATCAATAGGAAACCACGTGATTCGCTTAACAACCATATGATTCACTTAATGACCATGGTGATTCACTTAACGACTGCCACAAAATGTTGGAAAATTGGGTGCGGTCATGTGATGCCTCACTTAACAACCACCTCAGCTAACAATGAATTTTCCAGTCCCTACTGTAGTCGTTAAGCGAGAACTACCTGTAGCAATCTCTAAAACAGAAAAAAGTTTAACGTAAGCATTTATGAAAACATGCTATCACTTTACCATACATTCATCCCAGAACTATAAAACTTGCATTGAGCTCTGGTGAGTTGAACAGTCTGGCCTGATAAGTGGGGCATGTTTTCTTTGGGCAAAGAGATGATAGGCAAAAGGGGAACAGTCTCAGCCCATGGCCCACAGCCTGAACTTCACAGGTTCTTCCCTGTGCTGAATTTCCTGGAGTCATGCTAGGAATGCGAAGATAAGTGCAGTACATAACACATCCTCAACTAGGACACTTCTGGAGACTGGAGCTCACTTGTAATTCATTTCACCAAGAGCTGCTTTGATTTTGCTTTTGTCCTGCCTTTCCACTGACCAAAGGAAGCTGCTTCCCTAATCAGTGATTTCAAGCACATTCTAATTCCTGCTCCCCAGAGCTTAAACATGCATTGTGCCATTTTTCTGAGAGCTGGAATAAACTCTGCTGGTAATGCACTTTGAGACACCCTCCCATACAAATCCAACCCACACTTTAAAACGGTACTTATGGCAGAAGAAGAAGGATAATGGTTGTGGGAGCAAAATGGGCTCAGATTAATCAGCTCCCTGTACAATAAATTGGCAAAAAGTGGGCTTTTTTAAACACAACATGGAGGTAAGTAAACATACTTCAACCAGTCAAATGGTTTTCAGGTGGAGAATGCTTGGTTTGTTTCAGCAGGGCTGGGTTATTAACAATGCCCGATTGAACCATCTGCAGTATGCATCTCTGCATATATAATATAAAACCAGTGCAAATAAAACAGACAAAAATGCAGTTCATGTGTTTACAAAGTGCAAAACATTCCCCCAAGCCCTGCTGCGGAGTCAAAATGTTCACCTCTGACAATAAAATACTTTGCTTCAGCTGTCAAGTGGAATGAAATAAAGAGAGGCCCACTTATCAGATTCACATTTAGTGATCCCATTTCTAAAATGCATCCCGCCAAACAAAATAAAGCACTCAATTTCAAAAAGAAAGCCTATACAATCAAAAATAGCTTTTTAAGATCCCCATGCGTTTTAGGCTTGGCCTGATTTCATTTAGACGAAAGCTAGACTTCTGTACAGTGGCTTTGCTGTGGAGGAAAAATACTCTTAAAATAAAGGTTCAGCAAAGCAGAAGCCCTGTATTACAAGAGAGCATTAAACCCTGCAAGCTAAGAGCAGCATGAAGGAGCTTGCCTTTTTGATTAAAAAAAAAAAAAAATCCCCTATTGTAAGACTTTCCTTTCAAAATTAAGGCTCGTTTTGTCTGTTTAAGAGCGCAGATACGTCCATTTTCCCATCATGAAAGGTGTAAAATGCTGCTGCTCGTGTAACAGCAAAAATGGACAGATTATTTTTCTTTAACGGCTTATTGCACTAAAAAGGTAGCAAAAACAGGTTGTCAGTCCTTTAAACAAAATAGTTATGTCTCTAAACATAAAAACCAATGTTGCCAATACACCAATTTAAATTAAAGCATTGTTATTCATCTAATAAATATAAAAGAGAAAAGTACACATATAGATTATAGATATGCGCGGTCACATTAAAGTGAGAGGAAGCAACTCAACTCATCTCTCCCTTTTTTAAAAAAACAAAAACAAAATATAACTCAGCTCTGTACTTGAGCGCTACGTGCCACCCTGTGAAACAAAGGAAAATCTGAGGTCACAAGCAGCTCAGAAGATGCGTGTACGGCACACGAGAGGGAAAATTAGCTGGAACTTCTGGACAAGCAGAAAGCAGCAACGTCATTAATCTGGCCAGGCGGTATCGGTACTTCTGGCAGAAAAGTACAGGATGATTCTCTTCTATTGGAAGTACATGATGTGTTGAGTTTCGTTATGGAAAGCAAACTGAGTGGCGCAACTCCTAAGCTATGAAGACGGACAGGAAAGGCAGCGGTCGGCTAAACTACACAGGGAGCGTTAAGTGCAAGTGCACACACTCTTTCCCACAATATCGATGGGGCCGTTCACTCAAATTAACACTTGTCAGGGTTGCATTCAAGCACAGACAACCATGGAGGGGAAGCCATATGCAACCCACAAGGGTACGAAACAGATAAAAACACTTTTGCGCATCCACCACCCCACGCCCACCCACACCTCAACGTCACTCTGATTGCTCCTGTAAGTTTTAATACCCTTGGTGGTGGTGGCGGGTTTTTTTTGTTTTTTTGTTTTTTTTTGCAGAAAGAGTTGTGCTGCTGAGCAACTTGAGGTAAAGGCATAAAAAGGATCAGATTACTCCCCCCCAAAAGAAAGAAACACAGAGACCCAAACGCACAAAGGAGAAGGTGATGACGGCGGCACTTCCCGTAGGAAGCCGCCCCAAAAGCAGTTGGCTGGTTTCATATTGCATAATAAGTGGCGTGTTCTTGGTGAAGTAAACGATCTTCCCTGCATCAGAGCAAGGATAAGGCCTGCTCCCCGCCCTCCCCAAGACAGAATCAGCTTCAACAAGGCAGAGCTGCTCCCTCCCCCATTCACTGATTGCTCCGGAAACATACACTGTATGCAACTTAATTCTGCAGTTCTTTCGTTCGTGAATAGGTTCCATTTCATTCTTTTTATATATATCTATCTCTATATCTCTATATATTTTATATATAGCTAAGCAAAGTACATGGTGCGTAAGGTGTCTTGGTGAATCTGTACAGCCTTAGCAAGGGCTTGGGGATCTCTCCCATTGCTCTGTCCTGAAACATGGCTTCCTTCGGCACTGCAGGAAGAGAAAAAGAGAGAAGAGGATGAACAAGTAAATACCGGAGGATCTGAAAGGCACTAGCTGTGCTTTACCTTCTTGGGCTTTTAAGTTACCAAGCGCTAAAGTAAAAGATCTCCAGTACTATGTCAAACAGACTTTTACATCCATTAGCCAGCAAAAATAACATTTTAATCTAATATTCCTGTTAACTTCCCCCAAAGTGACATTTTAATATTAGAATCTTTCCTGCATAGGTTGACAATGCAAAATAAATCCCTACAACCAGAGTTCTAAGTAATTCCTTGGGCTATATCTAATGGCTATCGAAAGTGGTCCTCTGTAGAGATGGTGGGAAATCTTTTCATGTAATACTGTTGATATAAAGTGTAGTGTGTTTGTTTGAATGAGCAACGTGCTCTCTTTCCTCCTTATACACACATACGCGATCCATTTTTATGGTATGTTGCCGATCTGTGCAAAGTGTTTCACGTTTGAAGTATCTGAAGCTTAAAACCAGCTGTTCTGAACTTACAGGAAGCGTGGTGATACTGTGCAAACTTTACAAAAGTGTTCTAATCTTGAAGTGCCCCACTTTGAATGTACCCCATTTCAAGGCTGTGACAGCACTGAAGGAAACTGGGACAGGCCATTTCAAAACAGCTAGTTGGAACCTGAACAGAAAGACTCTGCTGTGTTGTTCTGCTGTTGCCCATCCCAGTCTCCTTTAGTCCAGATATTGTCAGGAAATATGGTGTAAGGGATGGAACGCTATGAGGGATCCTACACATGCACACTGCAGAGTTTCATGTGCAACAGCTTGTGAAAATGCTGAAGCTGAACTTGGCAACCAGGAGACATGCATACGTACAGGCTATACAGCTTAAATATGCATCCTATACAGAAAAGGAAATCTTAATCTCTATTTCAGCACTGATTTCCCTAAGCCCAGAGAACCCCAAGCAAAAGTATGTACGATGAAGCGGGGCTACCGCTAGCCCAAGAAATCTTTTTAAAAAGCCAAGCTTACTCAGACAATTCTGAGTAGACAACAGAGTCCAGAGCCAACTTCTGGCTTTTAGGTAGTCAGCTAGCAGTCATTCTTACCTGTCATGTTCTTTGTCCACAAGGTGGTATCTTGCTCTGAATGCTACCAGGTGAGCATAATAAGCTGGTGCAGGTATAGACACAGATCGTGTGCAGCGCACGTAGGTGTGGCAGAGCTGATAAGTTAGCAGCTGAAGTTCATCTGCAGTAAAACAATTATCATCCCACAAAACATGATAGTGCGAGGGGCGGCTGGTACCCTAAAGAAAAAGAAAACATTAGTTCCAGCAGTCCAATTAATTAACTTTTGACATCATGTTTCTGAAACAGTGTTTGTCAACCTTAGCAACTTTAAGATGGGTGGACTTCAGCTCCCAGAGAATTTAACCCTTCTTAAAGTTGCCAAGATTGAGCAACACTGTTCTAGAACATTCCAGAAGTGCAACTTTTTTTTTCCATTTAGCAGGACAGGCATGGCAATTAACTGATTCCAAGCCATCTAAGAAAGGGCTCTCATGATATACTGGTGAAACTCGAAAAATTAGAATATCGTGCAAATGTTCATTTATTTCAGTAAGGCAACTCA